ATTTTAAACTTTTAAACGTGTCCAAAGTTAAATTTGTAATGAGGACTTTGTGGGATTTAACAAACATAAAAATGTTTGTTTGGATGATTAAGCAGAAAAATGTTGCAAATATGGATGTTTCTGCAAATAAGCTGGAATGGCCACAAAATCCCTTATACACGTGTTCAATCAGGCAGCACAAAACAAATCTATATCACCACAGTGTGCACAGTGAGCACCCAACATCATTATTGCCTATTTATCCATCCATAACCGCTTATCCAGCTAGGATCACGGTGAGCCTGAGTCTATCCCTGCCACTTTGGAAGAAGGTTGCACTCTGGACAGGTCGCTGGTCCAGCATGGTTACAGATACTTTCTATCTCTGGTACACTAAGAATACCAGAGATATAAAGCCAGGCATTGGCATTGCAGCCAATTTAGAATCACCTATTAAACTAACATGCCCAAAATGAACAAACAATCTCTTTATTGCAAAATTTTACCAGTTTAATGAGATGATGAATTCTTGAGCTACAGCCAAAAGTGAATTTTGCGAGATGAGAATGACCTTTGATGAGTGATCAATAAATCTACTGAAGAAAATCCTTCTAATAGTTTTGAACATAATGAACGTGTCGATGAGTCTCACACGTTTCTGGTTTCCTGGAGAATAAATGTCTGATTTTTACCTTGTTATAAATTCAGATTCAAGTTGCAAATTTCAAATTTAAATGCCTACAAATGGAGGGACTAGTGTTTCATTAAGGTTTTGCTTTTATGTCTCTGGAGCTGCTGAAAAGCAGTCAGCAGCTTTGTTGTTTTTGTTCTTCAAATGATTGTGATTATTGCATTGAAGTAAAAGTGCTGGTCATTCCGTCATTCTGCGTATACTGGAGACACGAAGCACAGTAAGAATCACTGTAAAACAGAACGACTTTAACAGCAGAACAACAGTGTTGTTTTTGTTTTTCTCAAGCCTGGAGCCTCACATCAAACCTTCCTGTCCCTCCATCCCCAGCCTCTCTTTCTCCATCACCGCCTTCTCCTTCCCTGCCTCCACTCTCTCATCCTCCTCCGCCTCCACTAGTCTTGGCTGGGCCACTCCTCCCCCCGTGCCTTGAGTGAAGCTGTGAAACCAGGTCATGCTAGCGAAGACTGCTGTGGGGCTGTGTACAGTAACGAGGGATGTAAGGGGGAATTACAGTACACTGTGTGTTGAGTTTTGTCGTAGTGATTCACAACGCTGGGTCTAATGGGTGATTAATGCAGCAGAGGGAATCGCAGAGATCACTACTGTAAATGAGCATCTGGGTTTCAAACGTTTGAAAATCTGACTCGAGGAATCCCATCTGGGAGAGCAACAATTGACCCGGCATAATGGGAAAGACAAACAATAGCAGTTAGTGTCTTTTTCTTCTCGATTGTGTATCGGGCATGATAGGGAAGCAGCCCACTGGTTAGCACTGATGCCTCCCAGGGAGGAAAATCTATGTGACTCCTGTGTCAGATCTGTCTTTCCCACAATGTCAGCATGTTGTTGTTCAGTAGGTTTCTTTCCTCTGACAGTCCAAATGCAGAGAGATAGAAGCCTAAACAGCCTGCGGGTATGACTCTGAAAGTAAGTGTCTTTTTGCGTTAACCCTCTGATGCACTGACGTGCTCTCCACTGCCTTCAACCAATCACACCCCGAGACTGACTTCAGTTTACCCTCACCGTAAATATTACGAATATGCGGATAAATAGAAGGAATAAATGCGTCAAAGTTTGGAGCTGCTGGGCTGCAGCAAGCTAATTTGTATTCATAGAAAGTTCACTGTTCAAATAGACTTTGCTTCTGTTAATTTGTCAAACTTTCTGGCCAGGAGAGGTTGAAGCCGTCATGTTTTTCAAAGTGTTCTCCACCTGTGCAGGGCTGAGACTCCCACTCCTGGTCAGGACAGAGCTGCAGGTTTTCAGGCTCCTGGGCCAGCACGGCTCGTGAGCGGACCTGAACCGAGGCGAAGTCGACGCCGGCCTCTTTGGCGCAGATGTTGACGCACGAGCTCCAGTCTGACCACTCCATCAGGTAGCATTCACCTGCAGCAAAGAACAGACGACACGTGTCGCTTTCCTGTGACTGCTTCGCTTTAAAAGGAATTCACCTTAGACTCCATTTAATTAACAGATTATTAAAACAAGCAATGATTCATCAGAAATAAAAAGAATTCCCACTTCCCTTAAAAAACAATTAACTTGTACTGCTTGTGTTTTTATTCTCTGATGTACATTTCTGGCACATTTTAGAGTTAGAAAACTACCTAAACACACAGAGTAATATCATCATTGCATCATTCTTCATCTGTGAAAATAAATTCAGATTAACAGATCCATCCATTCGCTTCCGCTTATCCTTTTCAGGGTCGCGGGGGGCGCTGGAGCCTATCCCAGCTGTCATAGGGCGAGAGGCGGGGTACACCCTGGACAGGTCGCCAGTCTGTCGCAGGGCCAACACACAAGGACAGACAACCATTCGCACCCACATTCACTCACACATTCACACCTAGTGGCAATTTGGATTATCCAATTAGCCTATCCCCACAAGCTGCATGTCTTTGCACGGTGGGAGGAAGCCGGAGTACCCGGAGGGAACCCACACAAACACGGGGAGAACATGCAAACTCCACACAGAAAGACCCCGGCCTGATGGTGGAATTGAACTCAGGACCTTCTTGCTGTGCAGCAACAGTGCTAACCACCGTGCCACCGTGCTGCGATTAACAGATAAAAATCTGAATTACAAGGTTACATTTATTTACTGCTGACCAGTCAAGTGGTAATTTGCATCTATGGCATTTTAGGCTATGTAAGATAAGATAAGATAATCTTTATTAGTCCCACACGTGGGAAATTTGTTTTGTCACAGCAGGAAGTGGACAGTGCAAAAGTTATGAAGCAAAAATTAGAATACAATAAGAATAAATACAGTACACAACTGTACAGAATAGAATGAAATACTATATACAGTAGAATAAAATAGAATAAAATATACAATAGAATGCAAATGCTATATACAACTGAGTAAAAATACAACGATGCCAGAAAAGATTATTGCACATTAGTGTTATTGCACATTTGTGGATGTGTGTGTTTGATCAGTTAAAGTCTTTGTTCTGGAGTCTGACAGCAGTGGGGAGGAAAGACCTACGAAATCTCTCCGTCCCACACCGTGGGTGCCGCAGTCTCCCACTGAAGGAGCTGCTCAGTGCTGTCAGAGCCTCCTGCATGGGGTGGGAGATGTAATAAATAAAGTGAAGACTCTGGAGAACGACCTGGGGCTACCTTTCCCATCTCAGTGTCTAACCAAATGTAAATGATGTCACAGTCTATGACATCATTCGTTTTGGCAAGAAGTGTTTTTTTTTTTGTGCTTTTATGATAAATTGAACTTTTCGCGACCACAAGAGGCGCCCCCTGCTGGTAATTAAAGGTAATGCTGGTTTAAGGGCCTCACTGGATCTCATCATCATCTTTGATCTGGAAACCATCCCCATCCCTTATGCACAGTCCAAAAAATTAAACCAGTGCAGAGAAACTACTTCCATCTGGCAGCTCATCTCTGTTATGTGGATTTTTTTTAAGTAACTGCCAAATGACCTGTGCAGTATTGCAAGTTATGACCTTGAGCCAAATCTCGAATTGTTTTTTTTCCTGTAAGGCCACGTGCAGGGTCACATCCTCAGGCAGATGGCCCTTTTTGTATATTTTGAGTGAAGAGACTAAAAGGTTACCGTGTTTTTGCTATCTGGGCCCTCGACCTGCCTCAGGCTGAGGCGGACAGGATCAGTAATATCTCAAACTTCAGCTCCAGACTTCACTCCTCACTCCAGTGTTTTGTCTTTCATTAAATGTTTACTATTACTTTAGTTTTTATCTTAACTCTCTTATTGAACCACAACTTATTTTGACTGTAAACGCTATAGAAAAATATCTGCATTGCAGCTTAAGTGTGCGTGTCTGCAGCAGAAATCTGATCCTTCTCTCTGGCAGCACGGAAGCGACGCTTTAGCTATTTATCTCTGGATGATCTGGGTGAGATGTGTGCTGCTAGGATGCATATAGAATATGTATATATATATTTAAATATATCATATGGCAGTCAAGATGCTTTGAAGAGTTTAGTGAGAAGGAAGGCGCGAGTTTGAGATGCAGGGTGGCTTGGTTTTGATCATAGTTGACAACTGCAGCTTATCAAACAGTGGGGGTGAAACAGAACGTGGGTCAAAGGTTGCAGTGCACGAAAGTGTGTGTATTTGTGACTGTGGAGATGCAACCTGCTTAGATTCCCATGCCAGTCTGGGTCTTGCACAAGCAAGTCCTTGAATTTCCTCCCAAATCACACTACAGTACCTCCCTGAACAGAAAACAGGCTGTGCTTTTGATTGCTGTTTGATACTTCAGTGCTCCTGCAGTTTGGCAAAAGAGGCTGGACTGACTTGTTATCTAGGGCACCGTTTCTCAGTGTTTTCCATCTCAGGGACCAGCAGCCATCTGATGAGTGCTTTTTCCCCCTCCCCAAATGGAAAAAAAAATCCCACTAGCGAGAAACACACACCACACTTAGAGTATAAAATTAATTCAAACGGAGATACTTTAAAATTAGTCATGGGTTGAAACAAGGGCTGCATGTTTCTTCCACTGTATTGTAGAGATATTGAATGATGAATGATCAACGACGAGCCAAAATAGACACACAGCACTTTGGAAATGAACTCCACGTTTGTATTTTGTCTCTTGGCAGACATGAGGAACAATAATCCCCCCTTCAGGGACTGCTGACACTGAAAATAACAGATTTATGTTTAAGCTGCACCATGTGAGAATACACTCCTGTTATCTGGCTCAATCGTAAATTGGGGCTTCGGTTTCTCATCTCTTCTTATTGAAATGTTGTAGATTTGCCCTATTTAGCCAAAAGAAATGCTCCTGTTCACTTCTGCGTGCAGCGCGATATGAAGACTGCAGCTTCACAAAATGAAGAGCACTGCTGTGGACGTGGGAGGGACAGCAAACTGTTGAACCTGCAGACCTGATGGACAGATGGAGTCCAGCAGCTGCTGGGCAGAGCACACCTGTCTGCTTTGCTCCACGTTGCAAAGCTACATCAAACCCAGCATCTGACAAGCCTCCATCACCAATCCTCAAAACAACTGATCAGACTCAAGCTTTTGAAGTGATAATCCCATCTGTGAGATTTTTTTTTCTTACAGTGAGGGGTGACATCTTTGGCCCTAAGCTGACATTCTGCTGTTTTTGTGCTGCGGTGCCGAGACATCAGCTGTCAGTCAGAGAGTGGTCAACAGGCTCCTGTGAAGGCTTTTCTCCTCAGAGGTCAAAAATATCCAGCAACAGGCGCTTTATATAGAACGGTTTTATTGCTCGAAAAATATGTTTCAGCTCGTAACCCTCACAAAAATATTACAGAAAACTATTTAAAAGGTAGAAAACTATAAGAAACCCGCCCCCTTTTTTAATTTTATTGGTATACAGAATTTTTTTTTTTAACTGTAATGACAGACATAACTGTTTGAAGATGTAGAGACAGATTTGGTTACATCTCAATCCTCATGTTCAAATTAGAAACAATCACCATGTGACTAGACAGGATTAGCATTTCATCTGAGTTGGTTTTTTTTTTTCCCTTTTGTGCCTCCTCATCTCCTCCGTCCTTTTGCCCTGACCTGGAAATCTATCTCGGTCTCAGTGAGAAGACTGAGGAGATAGGGGGGCTCGCCGGAGGAGCTATAACCAGGTGTTTTTTTTCTTTTGTTGCTGTGCTTTCACCTGTGACGCATGAAACAGAAGTGCCACAAAACTGAAATGTGCAAATCACGTCAAGGAGAGTTCGGTATAATCAAACTTTCTAACCTTCACTTCTTTTGTGTAAATGTAATAAATAGTAGCACTAAATTTAGGTTTTCGTGACATTGCTATGCTGGTGTGGCTGCTGACATTGTAAATTACAGCAGAAGCACAAAAGGCAGCGAAGCAGCCGGCGCACACATTACATTTACTCGCCGTTGCTTTAAAATGCACAGCGAGAAACGGAGGACGTACAAATAGGTATACTCGAAATATTACACTTTTATTTATGGTGCAATAAATAAGCACAGCTTGTGCCCTGCAGTGCGTGAGCTGTTGATTCCCCCCCCTATTGTTTTCAACCCAGCACCTTCGCTTTGTTGTTGTGGTTTTGTCTGCATTTTTCTAGTTTCTGTAGTAGAAAAAAATACCTCTTCAGACTTTTATTTACTTCCTGCACCTTGGAAGTAAGTAAAGTTTTGCCAGAAACTATTTGTCTGTTGTCTTACACTTTGTTTTGATGACTCCTTTTGTAGACAAATGGTTACTGCTGCTTATGTTAAATACCCACTTCTATTTACTTCCAGGAAAAGCGCTTCTAGTGCAGCAGGAAAGGACCCACCACTGGTGAGGCCTGGGATACCCAATCTTGGCTTTTAAAACAACACTCTGCAGAAGTGTTTATGTGCTGTATACACCCTAAAGCTGTGTTCTCAGACTGCTCGCAAGGCTATTAGGCGGCCCATGTGTTTAGAATTTATCAGTTTATTTCCATACTGCAAAAATTAGATCACATATTTGGATTTTTTTCTAACAGATAACATATTTGGGACAAAGTTTTGTTTCCTAACATAGCAAAATGTGTACGAGACTGGATTTATTGCTGATTAATAATGTAACCGTTAACACCAACACACCTAAATGTTAATAAAGGTTGATCTCTATTAAGAAACATGGGCAACTTTTCCCTTTTATGGATACTTTATTGTGACAAGTGTGTCACAACAGCAAAGCTCCTAGTTTATGGGTATTTAAGCCCAAGTGATAAAATTCTTTAAACATGCAGAGCGGTGTATACGTTATAAAGGAGAGGGAAGGGAAAGCAAGCTACTCGACTTCAAAATACCCAGTGTGTCTTTTCTGTGCTCTATCAGAACAACTTTGCCACTGGACCTAATTTAAATCAAATTTAAACAAAGTGATTTTAAATTAACCGGTACTGTACACATACAGTAGTC